TATATATTGATGTTTGGGGAAGTTAGCACAAATGGTGAGAACTAAAAATCCAAGATCAGAATATCTCGAAGCCAGTTTAAGATATAACAGGACAGGCTTTTTGATTGCTTTCGGAACAGAAACATATCTTCTTCAATAATAACACAAGGTCCACTTGTACTTCAGCAAACAGAACGGATCACATAATCTCACCGATTCCAGGTTGTTGCACATACTCCATGATTCCCAATCCCTGGACATTAGTGTTTTCCTTAATGGAGCCACAGTCCACCTCTCATTGGGACTCTTAAACACATCCCTCGTGTGTCACTGGCTCTCTAAGAGGGTTATTCACAAAGTTGCCGAAGGCAGCTGAGTGAATAACCAACCCGAAGTGAAGTGAGCTGAACGCTGTTCGGCTATTCACTTCAGGCTTGTACGGCTGAAATCAGCATTACATCAGCTTGCTTCGGCTGGCTTTGGTTCAGCCGAACATGCTCAGCATGTTCGGCTGAGCCGAAGTGCAGAAGGAGTTCGCCTCAGCCGATCCAACATCTGGATCGGCTGAGCCGAACCTCCAGCAGGCTACTTGCTGCCGTTCGGCCTATTATAATAGGTAACCTGGGGACGCTGATCTGTCATTGCAACTGGGCGGAGCCAGCCGTGAGGTCACGGCTGGCTCCGCCCAGCTGTCAGTTGCAAGGCTTTCAGCCCGCTTCAGGTTTCACTTCGGCTCAGTCGAGCCGAAACATATGCCTTTGGGTCGGCCATCTTCGAGAGCTGTACGGGCTATAGTGTAGGGCTACATTGAATAGCCCGTACAGCAGCCCTTTGGTTCTACTGAACCGAAGGGCTCCGGCGGCCGAAGCTAGCAGAAGGATCAGCCGGAGCTACGGCTGATCCTTTGGCTAGCTTTGTGAATAACCCTCTAAGTCTCTTTGGCTGTCTCCCAGGTGCCTCCAACACACACAGCCACCTTGCTCCCCTCTGACTTCTGGGTGGAGTCCTCCTGACTCTTAAACACCTCTGTTCCTCTTCCCAGCTGGAGCCCCGAAAGTTAGCCATCACCCTTTCTTTAAGGGCTTTGCACAGGTGTGCAATCATTAGGTTCTGGTCACTACTAAACAATGGACACAGGAATGGAGATTGTATCCCTCCCAAATTCCAGGATCCCATGCCAAATCCAGAAAACCTGGGAGGAACTGCAAAGTCAGCTCTTTCCCAGTACAAGAACTTACTTCCTGGAACCACTCAGCCCCTCTGGCTGAGAGTCCTGGGTGACTACAACACCCAGTTCTACCACGGGATTGCCACGCTCAACTCCACGCTGTTTAGCAGGTGCACACAGTTAGCACTTGCTCAGATTGTCATAAGTGTATGGAGAGTGTATAGAAATTAACCAATGATGTTGCTTCACTCCAAAGACTATTATTGTAAATGCAGAAAAAAAATCTAACTGTTTACCCATAACGCATCCGAAAGCACAAACTTCAAAACATAGCCGTGCAACAATAGTTTTGGGCTCTTAAAGTGAATCTTGGCCAAAACCATGAACATTAAATTATCAACTTATTTTGAACAAGCAGCACTCTTAAACAGGCATTTATTCATCTCTGTATCTATAAGCACTGTGGAGTTATGACATCTTAGTTTTTATCTGTAAGAGCAGAATCCTGGACGCCTGCCAGCCTTCTAATATAAACAACCAGTAGGTGTTTCTAAGTTGTTAGAAACCAATTGAAACCTGACTTAAGGGCCCATTCACACCTATTTTCTGCATTCGTCGCACGGTAAAGTGGAATTTACTAACGGTAACATGCAATGCACCTACCATGCATTATTGTGTGGCAGGTTCATTGCATTTCAATTCTGTTGAATGGCACTCCAACCCACCTTCCTGTCATAATGCGCATGATCACGCTGCAACCCATAATAGCTGTGATTTGGTCCTTAGAGTATTTGTTGTGATCTTTGAGGGTCTGTGAGAATGAATAATATCTAATTAAAGGCAGCTAGAAAGGCTTGTTTTAAAGTTGTTGTTTTTTTACTGTTTGTTAAGAATATGTATATAGTTTAATGGTCAAAGTTTGGACACAGGTGTACTTTCATTAAAATAAGACTGTTTTAACCACTTGCTGCCCTGAGCAATTTCTTACATTTGCACACACATGATAAAATCTGAATTTTTGGCTAGAAAATAAGCTTCAGACCCCCAAGCAATTATATATTTTCTGAAAGCAGAGGCCCTGTAGAATAAAAACATGCTAGCTGCAATTTTTTATGGTGCATGGTTCATGTTTATCAAACAAGTATATAGGAAACAGTTAGGCGGAGCTAGCTGTCACTGCTACGGTAGCTCCGCCCAATTGTTTCTTTCTTTTTTTTCTTTTTCAATAATCTTTATCTTTTTTTTCAATAATCTTAGATTTGTTTCTATTTCTTTTTTTATCTTGAATTTTTAACATTTATTATTTATTTACTTTAGGAAACATTTTTTTCCTACTTTTTTTCCCCCAACTTTTCTCACTGTTTTGCTATTCTGCTTGGTACCACGGAGGTACCGAGCAGAATAGCCGAGCCGAATGCCCAAGCTGATCCAGATGTTGGATCGGCGGAGTCAAAGTCCTTCTGCACTTCAGCTCAACTGAACAGGCAGAGCTTGTTCGGCCGAACCGAAGCCAGCAGAAGCAAGCCGATGTACGGCTGATTTCAGCCAATGTACGGCTGAAATCAGCCCTACAAGCCTGAAGTGAATAGCTGAACAGCGTTCGGCTCGCTTCTGGCCGGTTATTCATTTGGCTGCCTTCAGCAGCTTTGTGAATAACCCTCTAAGACTTATTCATTATTATATGGTCTATGTATAGTAACCAATAGAAGCTTACTACATTATAAGTTTACTGCATTTAGATTTGGAAACTGCTACTTTTCCCTATTTGTCCTTAATCCATCTCAGTTACTTTAGCTGCTAGGACAGAGAGCGTGCATCCCTTTGCTCCTGACAGAGGAAACTAATGGTGTTAAACACAGAAATGCACAGCAAGATATGAAGGATCTGTGAAAAATAAATAGTAGGTTAAAGTTGGTTACACATGGCTGATGGCCTTGATGGAGGAATCTGTTATACTTTCTTCTTTCAGCCTGCAGGTTGAACAAAGTAAACATAAGCATGTATACCCGGCTTTAGGCTGCAAGTCCTTATGAGTAGCCATTTTAGATTTGTAAGAGCAGAGGGTAGTAGTGAACTGCCCACTCACTAAAACTTTTTTTAATATAACTGGGCTATAAAAAAGAAAATAACTGTAATTTCTCTATTTCAAATGATTTATATGAAATTGTGATGTTGAGTACTTAATGACAGTACTGTAAAATGGTAGAATGCATGCTAAATTTATGCCATACAGACTGACTTAGACTGTGAAATGAAATACACAATGGCCTAATTTTAAGATTTAGATAAATAATTATTGTTTTGTCATGGACATTGCTATATATGTATACTTTATATTAACCACTTTAGCTCTTTCATATCTAGTGCAAATATTATTTGCTAGAGGAATTTTCAGTGTTGCCTTTATTCATGATTAGCGATGGGTTAATCAGCCTGTATCCAATTTGTGGGCCACTTGTGAAACGCATTGTAACCCATACAAAGATGTGTACTTAAATCTGAACCCTATTGGGGTAAAGTGATGAGCATATGGCATTTATCATGTTTTGAGCTGATAAAGCCTATTATAAAAAAAAAAAAAACAATTTTTATTATTGTTATACAGGATTTATACAGCCAGGCCCGGCGCTACCGCAAGGCAAGTCAGGCGGCCGCTTGAGGGCGCTGCAGGGTGAGGGCGGAAAAAACAGGGCATTTTGACAAGTACTTGTACCTGTCAAAATGCCCGGGTGTTTGCGATTTGTTTTTTTTTTCCACTTACCTTCGGTACGGGAGAGCAGCGGCGTGTCAGCGCTGGTCCAGTGGGAGGAGTTCCAGGTGGGGTCCTAATTTAGCTGGCCGGCGACTGCCAGAGGATCCCGACGAGCACGGCATCTCAGGCAGTCGCCGGCCAGCTAAATTAGGACCCCACCTGGAGCTCCTCCCACTGGACCAGCGCTGACTCACCGCTGCTCTCCTGTACCGAAGGTAAGTGTAAAAAAAAAATAGCGCAAACATCGGGGCATTTTGACAAGTACTTGTCAAAATGCCCTGTTTTTACAGGGGTGTCAGGGTAGGGGAGGGGGAGAGGGGGGGCAAAAATGCACCTTGCCTGTGTAGGCAAGGATCCTAGCACCGGCCCTGGATACAGCAACAATGGATAAACACCTTTAATTTCTTGGAAGATATCTATAAAGCTGTATGTGGTGTTACTAACAGAACAATTCTCATGGATAGTGTTATCAATACCATATTCTGGGCTTAAATACAGCAGTCGCACCACGCCACATTTATTATAATTTGGAAAACTTTTTTTAGATATTTTTG